TCTGACCCTCAGGATCTTCATCCTTCAGTTGGGAAGGGCACCACCTCACGGGGGCACCGTGTAGGCGTGACGGGGACAGTGACTGCAGTGGCCAGTGTGGGGCCGGCCACGCCCGGCACACAGGAAAGTGTGCCAGTCAGCATGGCTGGTCTCACCGTATCTTTGCCCACGGAGGAAAGCAAAGAGCTAATTGTTTGTTCTGAATTCCAGCCTTCTTTTTTTTGTTAATAAGTTGATTTTTTTTTCTTTATTGATTTTAGAGAGAGAGGAAGGGAGAGAGGGAGAGAGAGATAGAAGCAGCGATGAGAGAGAACATCGATGGGCCGCCTCCTGCATGTCCCCCACTGGGGATCGGGCCCACAACCTGGGCATGTGCCCTGACCGGGAATCGAACCGGCGACCTCTTGGTGCAGGGTCGACGCTCAACCACTGAGCCACACCGCCAGACGTGAATTCCCGCCTTCTTGGTCGTGCTCAGGAAACTAGTGGGTGAAACCAACTTCCCGAGGCTGCTGCCCCCACTGCTGCTTCTTGGAGAACCGTGGGCTGTGGTGCCCGAGGTGTCGTGTGTCCCTCAGCAGAGTCTCACCCAGTCCCGTCCGTTCTGGGGGCTCCTGGTCTGAGACAGTAAGGCCCAGGCAGACTGCCAAGCAGACAGGGCTGGACAAGGTCTGCCCCGCCAGCCAGTAAGAAAACGGGTCTTCGCTCCCCTCGTCATCGGGGAGGACTCTCACCTCCACAGTTCTGATGCAGAGGAAGCAGAGCTCTGGGGAAACGGGCCTGGATGCAAACCGTCCCTCCCTCCAACCCACACGCCTGAGCCGAGTGGCTGCTGCTGGGGGCTCTGGGCATCTGAGAAAGTCTTTGATTTCATCTGGGTCCCTAGAGAGCACTGTTGCAGAGACCCTGCCCTCCACAGGCCACAGGTGCTTGGAGAGCAGCACCAGAGAGCCATGTCGAGGTGGGGGAGCCACAAAGCACAACAACTTGGGCCTCCAGGGGAAGGTGGCCGTCGCTGAATGTGAAGGGGACCAGACACTCGGGTCCCCGAGGTGAATTTTGCCTACCCCTGCTGCTGGAAGAGGCTGCAAGGACCGCTGGGTAAAGTTTCATTCTCCCTGCTCTTTGGGGGGGACTTCACCTTCCTGAGGGGGGGAGCAGAGCTCACACTTGCTGCAAGAACAGGAACCGTTTCCTGCAGAGGGGCCTGGCCTCCGGGGGGACGGTGGTTTGAGTGAAGGGAGCTCCTTCCCAGAGAAGGGGAGCTGCCGAGGCAGACTGACCGCACGGAGAAGTGACTCTGGCCACCTGTGGAGCGCGGACCGCCCAGAAGAGGAAGTGGGGAAGATGGGCCGCTGAAAATAGAAATGAAAACCGTGCGATAGCTCGGGACACATGAAGAAGGTCCCAGAACTTTCTTGAAGAAAACGGCCAGGTCATGGGATGTAAACTGGTGCAGCCGCTACAGAAAACAGCATGGAGAGTCCTCAAAGCATTAAGAATTGAGCTGTCGTGGGGCCCAGGTAGGTGTCCCTCTTCTGGGTACCTACCCCGCAAATCTGAGAACATTTACTCATAGAGGTATGTGCACCCCTGTGTTCATCGCAGCATTATTCATGGTGATCAAGACATGGAGACAACCCAAGCGTCCTTCGTAGAGGACTGGATAAAGGAGATGTGGTACATATATACACAGTGGAATACTACTCAGCCATAAAAAGGATGAAATGTTGCCACTTGTGACCACATGGATGGGCCCTGAGAGGGTCATGCTAAGCAACATAAGCTAGACGGAAAAGACCAAGAACCACGTGATTTCTCTCATGTGGGAGGTAACCTGAAACTTGTAGACACAGCCAATAAATGTAATTAAGACAAAATGGCCATGTCTTTTGAAAGGATGTGAATAGGCACTAGGTGCTGAGACACTTCCCGGGAAACACCTCCTTGCTTACGTACCCATGTGTGTGTTGCAGTCTTGGTCACAGAGGTCAAGACATGGAAACAACTGAAGTGGCCTCTCACCAGTGATTGGCACATACACAGTGGAATACTACTCGGCCATGAAAAGGATGAAATGTTGCCATTTGTAACCACATGGATGGGCCTTGAGAGGGTCATATGAAGTGAAATAAGATGGAAAAGGACAGGACCATATGATATCACTCGTGGGCTATACAACAAAAAGCAACAGATGAACAAACAAACCCATAGACACAGACAACACCATGGTGGTGACCAGAGGGGAATTGGGGCTGGGGGAGGATGAAGAAGGTCAAGGGGGTTAGGTATATGGTGACAGAAGAAGACCAGACTTTGTGTGGTGAGCACACAGTGGAATCTATAGATGATGTATTATAAAGTTGTACACCTGAAACTTACATAATGTTATTAACTTATAGCTATAATATTACCCCAATAAATTTAATTTAAAAAATTCCTACATGTGTGCAGGGCAGTTCTGCCTTGAAGGCGCTCTTGGAATTAAGTAAAGTGGCCCCACAATTTACAATGCCCAAATATAGCCAAGACGTGTTTACAGAGGCGAAGGGGGAGCACCTTGTAGTGGAACGAGGGGTGCAGCTGAACTTGTGGGTGATCCACACATGCCCTCATCTTGAGCCCACCGAGGTGTGGGGAGAGCGTCCCCACGAATTCCGACAAGACTGCAGTAGAGAGAGATGGTCTGTCCCCCACGAGGATGTTAAAAGTCACGAAGAGGTTTCTCAGCTGTCTCGCTGCTGGGCGTCACCTGCTCTCGAAGGCTAGGCAGTCCTGGGACACTCATCTGTGGGCGTGTGGTGTGAACTATGTCGGTCGTTGTGAGGACAGCAGGGGCTGGTCCCCGGGCGGGCGCGCCAGGACGGTGACTTCCCTCAGACGCATCCGTCTCTTCCATCCTCTGACTCATTTCTGCCTCTCCGAGCACACACATGCTTTCCATCGGGGCGTTTCCTACGGCGCGGGGAGCTCTCGGGAGACATCTGGAGTAGAAAGTAGCTCAGAAATGACACTGTTCGTGTGCGGTTTCAAGCGCCGGGCCCTGGGCAGTTGCTATGGTCAGCTCCACCCAGGAGCCGTCGCTCCGCCTTCCTCCCTCAGTGCCTCTGACATTCGGCGTTGGCTTCAGAAGCCGTTAGCATGTCATCGAAGACAGATGTTTCAGTTTAGGGGTGGAAAGAAGACACATGTTCTGGACGTTTCACAACATATGTGGGTCACGTTTGTGCTGCAGATTCTGCCATTTCTGATCCATTGCTGGTTCTCACCTACATGATCGTTAAAGTGTGTTGGCCCCATAAACATGTTCTTGTTTTAAAAATCCCTTTTCTGGGATGTTTGTCCTGGGTGCTAGGAAGCAGCAGTCTGGAGCGGTGGGGTCCCCCAGGGGGCATCTGCAGTGTCTGGATCCCAGCTTGTGAGGGGCAGGCTCCAGGCATCTCCCTGTGGGGCCAGGGATGCTGTCCACCCCCCAGCACCCAGGAACAGGACGGCCTCCATGCGGAGTGGTCAGCCCAACGCCCAGTCGCATCGAGGCTGAGAAATCCTTCTTCAAAGTCATCATCACTGCTGCTTGTGTAGTGGGGTATATCACAGCTGGGGTCCTTTTAAGGTTTCGGTGGGCCTTTTTTTTTAAGGTTTTTAAAAATGTATTTGTACTGATTTTTTTAGAGAGAGAGGAAGGGAGAGACATAGAAACATCGACATGAGCCCTGGCCGGTTTGGCTCAGTGGTTAGAGCGCCGGCCTGCGGTACAGAGAAACATCGACATGAGAAACATCGATCGGCTGCCTCCTGCACGCCCCCTACTGGGCATGGAGCCCGCAACCCAGGCATGTGCCCCGACCAGGAACCAAACCGAGACCCCTCAGTCCACAGGACGACGCTCCATCCACGGAGCCACACCGGCCGGGTGCAGTGGGTCTTTTTCAAGAGCTGTGAAAATGTTCTGTCTCTGTCTCTCCCCCCACCTCCTTCATTTGTACACAGTCTGAAAAATAAAGCCCATGAGGGGTGTCCTCAGCCCCAAGCCAGCGGCACTCGTGCTTCTTCCACGAGATTCCTGTCTCTCGCTGCGAACCTTCTATTTAGGGTTTGTCTCATCGTGTCCTGGTCTCTCGTCCATTCTGTCTGCTTAGAAGAGCACGGTGGACGCTCCTTCCGTGGGCCAGAGGGGTTGCTCGGTCTGCCGTGGCTGGGCCGTCTCAGCCCAGCAGCTTTGGTGATTTCTGTCTTCCCTTGTCCTCCGTTGTGTCCTGGGGGTCTTTCTAGATGCTTTGCATTTGCACCTACCTCGAGGTTGAGCCACTCGGGGGAAACAGGCCTGCGCTCAGCTGTCTTGTGTATAAGACACGAGTATCCGGAGGTTTCTGGCCAGCTCCACTTCTGTTGGTTTAGTAAATGAAACGCAATTTTAGTTGGGACGGGCCTGGCTTACCCAGGGGACGTCTCACCAACAGGAAAAGTGATAACCGACCGGCAGGCGTCACCACAGACACAAGCCGTGCCTCACAGACGACACCATAGTGGCTACGAAGTCACCAGGCAGCAGGAATTTTTCAACTTCATGATCATGTGGGACCAAGTTGCACATGCAGACTGCCACTGACCGAAACGTTGTCCTATGGCGCACGACTGTATTTCTTTTCTTTTTTTTAAAGAGTGGATTCTTATTTTTAATTGATTTTAGAGAGCGAGGAAGGGGGAGGGAGAGGGAGACATGGGTTGGTTGCCTTCTGTACATGCGCCGAGCGGGGATCAAACTTGCAACCTGGGTGTGTGCCCTGATCCAGAATCTAACCTGCAGTGCTTTGGTGTACGGGACGATCAGACGAGCCCCTGGCCCGGGCTGTGAGGCCCTTCTAAAACCACTGCTGTGGTGGACATCTTTAACACACTAGGAAGTAGGCAGAATCATGCAGTGAGCTCCACGTGCCCACCACCTGGACCTGGCCCTCCGCGACCTCATTCCAGTCCCGTAACGACAGTCTCTTTCTCAGGGAAGAAAAGCAGTACGTGAACCGGTTCTGGAAAGAAATTCGTGTGGGAGACTTCGTGCGTCTTCGCTGCAACGAGATCATTCCTGCGGACATTCTGCTGCTGTCCTCCAGCGACCCCGACGGGCTCTGCCACATCGAGACGGCCAACCTGGACGGGGAGACCAACCTGAAGCGGCGGCAGGTGGTCCGCGGCTTCTCGGAGCTCGTAAGTGGCCGGGGGCTTCCAGGGCATCGCGGGCACCGTGTCCACACGCTGGCCCTCAGGCGACAGAGCACCAGCACCCCCTCCATCGGGCCAAGCTGCTTTCCCTAGTAGATGGAGGCGGGACTGAGGGTCTGAGAGGACCCCTGACCTGTCTGCAGCTGTGAGAAACAGGAACTCGGTTTTTATGATTGATTTCCCCTGTATGCTTTCGAGTTCCTCAGACCAGTATTTGGGGTCCCTTTAAAGTTACAAGAAACAGCGACGAGCAGCCGACTGCCGATGCTCACGCAGCTGCTGCTCCGTGTGGCCTGTTCCCGAGTCCAGCCCCAGGCCTCCGCACTGAGCTCTGGACGGAGCAGCATCAGCCACAGCTCAGCAAAGCAGGGTGGTGAGGCGGGGCTGTGGCTCTGACCGTCTGCACTCGCCACCTGCCTTGTGGCCCGAAAATTCAAACCTTGTCAGGGTTTCCCACCAGCTGTCCGTGCTCCCTCACCCCAGGTCTGTGCAGGGTGCAGGCCGGGGTCAGGAAGTGTGTGGGTTGGTCCTCACTTGTGCTCCCAGCATCTGCTCTGGCGTCTCCACTGTCTGTGGCCGTCAGCCTGTGCGGGAGGGAAGTGGAAGAAATGTCCCAGGCAGTGAGCCCGGTGCTCAGGAAGGGCGCCCCTGGGGGTGACTCCAGTGTCAGCCCTGGTGGTCAGTCAGGCCCGGGGGCATCTCTGCAGCAGCACGTATTTGGTAGCTGCAGGAAGGCACCAGGACACTGCTGCACGCTGGGCAGGGTCCACGAGGCAGGACGTTGGAGGCTCGCCTTCCGAGCTGTCACTCACCACCACCGTCTGGCTGCTCCTGCCCCCACTCACTTTCACCCAGGTTCCTCATTTTAACCTGTGCGTGTGCTGAGTATACGTTTGTGAGCTGCCTCAGATCTTCCTGAGATTGAGGCAAAGCATGAGAAACATTTTAAATGCTGTTTTGTTTTTGTTTTTTAATGGGGCTCAGTCATTCCGGATCAGGGAAGCTACTACAGTGTTTGTTGGGGACCCTTCAGGCCAAGCGTGGGCGGCTTATGGCTGCCACACGGGTTGCTCCAGGGCTCGGTGGTGGAGGTGGCCCCCCGTTTGCTGCCCTCCCCACCCCTGGCCTGCATGTTGCCTGTTCTCCAAGTGCTCTGAGGGCTCAAAGTTTAAACGATAGCCCTGGCCAGTTTGGCTCAGCGGTTAGAGCGTCAGCCCACGAGCCAAAGAGTCTCGGGTTCGGTTCCCGTCAAGGGCACGTACCTCAGTTGCGATTCATCCCCGGCCCTGGTCGGGTCATGCAGGAGACAACCAGTCGATGTGGCTCTATCACATCAATGTTTCTCTCTGTCTCTCTCTCCCTCCCTCCCTCCCTCTCTATCTGATAGTAAGTAGAAAAATATCCTTGGATGAGGATTAAAATAATAATAATAATAATAAAATTTAAACTAGAAAGACTTGCCCAGACACTGTGGCTCAGTGGATTGAGTGACATCCCGTGGACTGAGAGGTCCCAGTTGATTCCTGGTCAGGGCGCATGCCCCGGTTGTGGGCTCGATCCCCAGTAGGGGGCGTGCAGGAGGCGGCCGATTGATGTTTCTATCTCTCCCTTCTTTCTCTAAACAATCAGTGAAAACATTTAAAAAAATAATAATAATCTGTTAAAAAATAAAATATGAAGACTAGCACACCCGTGTGATGGAACATGAGGATGTGTGCATGTGTGCACGTGCCCGGGTGTGCGTGTGTGGGTGTGCAGACAGTTTCCCATGACGAGGGGTGGGCTCTGAGAATCCTGATTCCTTCCACCTGGGTCAGCTGAGACCTGGATGGCTCTGGCGGAGATCACGGGGGTGGAGCCACTCGGTGCCTGGGTGTTTCCGGCCTCTGCCCGAGGGCTCTGGAGGCCACGAGGCCGGTTGGAGAAGAGCCCGCCCACCAAGCTGGGCGCCATCCCTGGGGGCCAGGAGGACAGAAGCAGAGGCATGATGCCTCTCAAGGGGTAGACTTCCAGCCCGGTTCCCCCCGGGCTAATTACATGCCCTCCGGCCCTGATGTCTTTATCTCTGTCCCTGGATAAGAAAACAGTTACTCCCCTGACCGGTTTGGCTCAGCGGTTAGAGCATCAGCCTGCGGACCAGAGAGTCCCGGGTTCGGTTCCCGCTAAGGGCATGTACCTTGGTTGCAGTTTGTCCCCGGCCTGTGGGTGGCAGCCAGTCGATGTGTCTCTCACATCGATGTTTCTCTCTCTCTCTTCCTCCCTCTCTATCTGAAGATAAATGCAAAAATGTCCTTGGGTGAGGATTGAAAAAAAAACAAAACAGTTTCTTCTCGTGCTGTTGTGAGGACTGGAGACACGTTAAGCACGGTTCCTGGCACGTGGTGGACAGTAAAAGATGGTGCTGTATTTAGTTGCTAATGGGTCTGCAGTGGACCAGGTGGGCTGTGGACAGCTGTCCTGAGGCTGGTCAGAAGGGCTGCGTGGGAGCCCAGCTGAGCCCCGGTGGTGGCAAGGTTTAGAGGTGAGGGGTGCTCGTGCCCGGGTGTGCAAGAAGAAGGGATGCGGGGAACCAGCCCTGGGGGGCGAGTCCCCAGGCGGACGGGTGGGCCACTAGCTGGTCATCAGCTGTCATCTGGGATGAGCCAGACTCACCAGTCGCTAACATTCCAGAGACAAACAAGACAAAAATGCAAAATTAACGATCTAGAATTAACAGGACACCGAGTCCCTGCGAAAGGAATTCATTTCAAGAATTCCATGCGCAAGCAGCTTCAGGCTTGTGAAAGCAAAGCCCTCGCCTGGCAGATTAATTCTGCTGGAGAGACGGAGCTCGGAGCTCGGGTGGAGGAGTCATTGTTTTCCTGCAGAAAAAGTGTCCCTTTTCCTAAGGTGGGAAGAGCTCCGCGAAGTCCATGATAGTGCACTTTCTGAAGCACAGGTGACTCGTGAGCGGTGGTTCTTAGCTGCTCTGCAAAAATCATGCAAAAAGTAAAGAGTTGGGGAAATTAGGGCACCACGGGGGAAAAAAGTTTGCTAATTTACTAACAGTTGCCAACTTTACCTGCCCCTGTTTTTTTAAAAACTGTTCCATGGGGGTATAATTGACATTCAGTAAGCTGTGGGTATTTCTAAGTGGGCAATTTGGTGGGTTCTGACATAGAAACACACAGGAACACCAACTGCACAACCAAGGGGGTGGATGTGCTCACACCCCACCGTCCTTGGGCCTCAGACAACCACTGATCTTTTGGTTCCTATAGATTGGGATTTTCTAGAGATTTATATAAATGGAATCCTACAGTAAGGTACTTTTTTTTTTTAAATCCTCACCTGAGGATATTTTTCCACTTATTTTCAGATAGAGTGGGAGGGAGAGAGAGAAACATTGATGTGAGAGAGACACATAGATTGGTTGCCTCCTGCACGACCCCACCCAGGGCTGGGGACCAAACCGTAACCCCAGGTACGTGCCCTTGATCAGAATGGAACCCAAGACTCTTTGAGTTCTAACTGCTGAGCCAAACTGGCCAGGGCAAGTCCTTTTTTTTTTGTTTTGTTTTTTTGGTCTGGCTTCTTTCTCTCAGTACAAATATTTTAAGATTCATTCCGGTTGTTACATGGATCAATAATTTTTTTTTTATTGCTAGTATGATTCTAGCTGTAAAATAGACTATCTCAACTATATGCCTTGTGATCCATTCACCTGTTGGGAGATATTTGGGTTGTTGAAGGTTTGTTTGGCTGTTAACAATACAGGTGTGCCGTGGCCAGTAGCTCGGTTGGCTGGAGCGTTGTCCCGACGCAGGGAAGGGGTGACCTGGGGCCATGACCCAGACAGGCTGGTGGGTAACCCGGTGGTCAGCGCAGATGAGCTCAGCAGCGTTGTTGCGGGCGTGTTTTATGTTTGGTACCAGCTCACGTTAAGCACGGACCCGTTCAAGAGGGCTGTTTTAAAGAACAGCTCTCAGTTAGGTTTTGAAGTTGGTCTGCTATAAAACAGCTCTTACTGCTGGTGTCTGGACACACAGCCGGTCCTTAGATGCTCTCACGTCTGCTACAGAGGAGGGCTTGGCTGGCAGTGGGGCCCTCGAAGGCAGCACAGGGCCTCTGTCACCCAGAGGGAAGGGAAGGCTTTTGATCCTGAGAATTCAGGCTCCAACCCCGCACTCGGAGCCTTTGAATTTTGCCACCGCCTCAACTAAAGCGTCCAGGCTTTTTGGCGGAAACAGCAAGGAGGCAAGGGAACAGAGGGTAAGCACACGGGGCGGTAGGAACGGTTGGCTTTTTCACTTTCAGGTCAGATTTCACGAGAAGCAGGCTGGCTTTCTGCTTTCAGACAACGAGGGGTCTACTTGATCTCTGTTCCAAATTGGCAGTTAGGAAATGAAGGCAGCCACCCGACAGCTTTTTTTTTTTTTTTTAATCCTCACCTGAGGACATTTTTTGTTCCGATAGAGTGGGAGGGAGAGAGAGGAAGCGAGAGAGAGAGAAACATCGACGTGAAAGGGACACATCGAGTGGCTGCCACCCGCACGACCAACCAGGGCCGGGGACAAACTGCAACCGAGGTACATGCCCTTAGCGGGAACTGAACCCGGGTCTCTCCGGACCGCAGGCGGACACTCCAACCGCTGAGCCAAACCGGCCAGGGCAAGAAAAGATACTTTGATTTAAGGCCCCTTGGACATCTCCCGCCACCAGTACCAGAACACCTATGGTTTTATTCCGGTTTTATTTGTCTAATCCACACTGGGAGCCAGGGGTCCCTGGGGTGGACAGGACAGTGTCTGTTCCATTTCTAACTAATAGAAAATACTGACTGGGCAATATCATCTTTGTAATAAGTAAGTAGATTCATCCGTCTGTTCATTCATTCGCTCATTCGCTACGCTGTCTGCCGTCCTTTGAATTCCCACAGCACTGACAGGCCTGTATCAAATGCAGATTGGGTTGAAAATGCACAGTGAGACTTGGGGTGTACTCTGGAGCTCACTCCCTCCAAGGCCGCCCTGGACATGGCGGCCATTCCCTTTATCCTCTCTCTCCACCCGACCTCTTCATATGTCATAATTCAAGGGCAAAATCCTAAATGAAAGACCTTCTTTGTGGTGAGCTGTCTTTTTTTTCTTTTTTTTTTTTTTCCATTTAGCAGAATAATACGGAAATTATGGGCTTATACATTGGTTATTTAAATGTTTTTTTGTTTGTTTGTTTGTTTTTTTACTCCTCACCCAAAGATACTTTTCCATTGATTTTCAGATAGAGTGGGAGGGAGGGAGGGAGGGGGTAGAGAGAGAGACATCGATGTGAGAGAGACACATCGATTGGTCGCCTCCCACATGGCCCCCACCAGGGCTGGAGATCGAACCGCAACCGAGGTACGTGCCCTTGACTGGAACCGAACCCGACACTGCAGGCCGACACTCCAACTGCTGAGCCAAACTGGCCAGGGTTTCAATGTTTTTCATCAAATATCTGTGAAGAACGTTTAGGGCACATTGAACTTATAGTGAGTTCCTATTTTCCAAGTGGAATTTGCTTCCCTAATAGGAAATTGGAAGGTACTGGCCTATCTCCCCAAAAAACGCAGTCACCCCGTCCCAGTATCTGAGTCTCTGATTTTGCATCAGAGCTACGAGCATTCAGCTTACCACTCGCCGGCACAGTTCTGCGATGATCAGTTATTGTCTGGGGTGATGGGGACCCCTGCGCTGAGTTGAGGGGGGCCTTCTGCAGGGGCTCCCAGGAGGTCCCCTGCCACGCGTGCGGGAGAGGCCTTTAGGACAGAGCCGTCGGAGCCCTTGTTTCTCTAAGTGTCCTGCTGTGTTTAGGTCTCTGAATTCGACCCTTTGACGTTCACCAGCGTAATCGAGTGTGAGAAGCCAAACAACGACCTGAGTAGGTTCCGTGGGTGCATGTGAGTACCATCCGTCCGCCGGGCTGTCCTGTCTGACGGACTGTGTATGTGCACAGTCAACCCTTGAACAAAGCAGGGTTAGGGGTGCTGACCGCCATGCAGCTGAAAATCCTCGTATAACTTTTGACTCCCCCAAAAGTTAAGCAACAGTAGCCAACAACATGCACAGTTGATTAACACATATTTTGTATGTTATATGCTGGGTTCTTTTGTATTATACACTGTATTCTTACAAAAAGTTAAGCTAGAGGAAAGAAATGTTATTAAGAAAATCATAAAGATGATAAAATAAATTTACAGTATTTATTGGGGGGGAAATCCACATATGAGTAGACGTGCACATTTCCAATGTGTATTTTTCAAGGTTTACCTGCACACAACACACACACACACACACTCATTCACTCACACACAGTGCTGAAATATGCACTTCATATTCTTTGGCCCAGCACATGAGCCTCCTAGTTGCTCACGAGACTAGTCCATACGATTGTGTTGACAGTGGAAATTCACCGAAGCACCTGCAGTGAGCAGTTCTGGCCCCTCCCTCAGCAGCCCTGGGAGGGGAGGGCCAGGGAGGCCTGGCCGACCCGTGGCCAGACTTGAGGAGCCTGGTGGAGTTCATCCATCCGTCCATCCATCCATTCATCCACACAGTCACTGAATAAATAGTTATTGAGCACCTGCTGTGCAGGGCACTGGGATCAAAGACTACACAGGAGGGTAAAAGGTTCCCCCAGCATCCCCTGCTTGCAAGCGGTTCAGGAGCCCAGCGTCAGGCACAGGGGCAGAGACCAGTACACACATTTCTTGATATTTCCCAAAGCCCATTGGCCAAGTACATATCAGGCTCTGGAGATGCTTCGTGAAGCCCAGTTGCCTGGGAGCACAAGCTCCATCCCAGCTCTTGTAGAATCCACTGAGGGAGCTGCCGCTCTGGGGTCCCTGCCCCCCTCCCTGCCCAGCGTCCAGGCTCCCGGGGTGTGAGGCACCTGCAGGCATCTCGGTGACACGTGACAAACGCCCTCGACAGCACGCACGACAACGGGAAGAAGGCCGGGCTGCACAAGGAGAACCTGCTGCTCCGAGGCTGCACCGTCAGGAACACGGAGGCCGTGGTCGGCATCGTCATCTATGCAGGTAGCTTGGCCTGTCGCGCCTGGCCTGGGGCGGCGCTGGCGGCCAGTGTCCTCTGTGCCCTTGAGCATCCCTCCTATTTTTTTCTGATTATGGGAGTAGCATAGATCCATTGTAGAGAATCTGGGAAGCGAAGAAAAGAGAAAGAAGCACAATATCTAATCCTATCTTGACCCGAAGTGTTTCCTCTTAGCATGTCAGCCTGTTACGATCCATGTATCTCCGTGGTTGCTGCCCCTTTCAGATGATTTCACGCCCTGCTCTCTTGACTGAGCCTGTCCCATACATACCGGGGGACGGCAGCATCCGACTGTGTATCCGCTGATGCTGGCGCTGACTGCAGCCCCCCTCCCCCCACAGGACACGAGACCAAGGCGCTGCTGAACAACAGCGGCCCTCGCTACAAACGCAGCCAGCTGGAGAGGCAGATGAACTGCGACGTGCTCTGGTGTGTCCTCCTCCTCATTTGTATGTCTCTCTTTTCATCGGTTGGTAAGTCTCCTCGGCGGGCAGCCTCCAAACGAGCTGGTTGGGCTGCCCACTACTCAGGCTTGTGCCCTGAAGTTCAGGGGCACATCTGTGACCATGGGGCCCATGGATGCTTGCATCGGCCGGGGCCACGTGGATGCCAGGATGAGTGGGCACGGCGCCGGGTTACTTCTCCCATTAGAAGCCCTGATGGAAGAACTATGCAGCAGTAGTAATGAGTCCAGGACAAAGTGTCCCAGACGGTGATGAACTAGGAGTAGGAGAGCAGAGAAGCATGAATGTGACTAAATGGAAATCCCAGGAAAAGAGGAGAAAGATGACTTGGGACATGAAAAGGGGCAGTTTGTTGGCATGCGGGCCCTCTAGCCCTGCTGGCCTCCAGGCCTTGCACCTCCCAGGGGAGAATGTTACATGAATGTCAGGTCAGTGACCGTCGCTGTGTCCAGGCGGTGGGTTTAGCACGGTCTCGGGTTGAGCGGTGGCAGACGCAGGCATCGGGACATGTGAGGCCTGCGGGAGCAGCAAAGGAGACAGTGCCCCGCCATTGGCTCCTTGGAGTCAGGCGCATGTGATTGTGCGTCTCCAGGAAGGGATAGTAATGGGCAGTATCCAGAGCCTGCTGACGAGACTGGGATTTCGTGACACACACGCTGGGAATCCCTCTCTGGACGCTTCCCACTGGCAGCTGCATCCGGTTGCCACATCGTGACCAGTGGTGCCGCCGCTGCCAACAGAGGGAAAGGCCGGTGTGAGAGTCCCCGTCCCAAGCCTCCCAGCCGTCCTGCTCGGGTGCCAACAGCACCGCGCGCTTTGCTTTCTTAGGTGACAAGCAGGCTCCTAAGGCCCAATGTCCCTGCGTCCAGTGTAGTCGTCAAGGTTTGCTTTCATGGGCGCTTAGCAGTGTTTTTATGTTTCATTGGATAAATGCTGTTTCTCTCTGAACGTCACTGCAGGACATGGATTGTGGACTCAGCGGTATCAAGAGAAGAAAGCATTGTTCGAAGTCCCCGAATCTGACGGCAGCTCTTTGTCCCCGGTCACAGCTGCAGTTTACTCGTTTTTGACAATGATTATAGTTCTGCAGGTAACAATACTGAGCACACGCAATACTCACTTTGCTTTTCTGGCAAGAACTGGTCCTCGTGCTCCACTAAGACTTGCCAATAAACTGCACGGGGACTAACGACCACAAACGTACCTTCCTCATGTGTTGCGTTTCACTTTGACACCCAGTTTATCTAGAGGGTGTTGTTTTGGTCAGTTTTCAAGTTCAAATTCTCCTTTGCTGTTCTTAAGATACTTCGACTTTCAGGGGTTGGTTTTTGCTCATTTTACATTCCATTACTTCTTTAAAACTCTAAATTTTATTTTGGAATAATTTTTTTTTTTATCCTCACTCGAGGACATTTTTTCCATTTTTTGTTCAGATAGAGTAGGAGGGAGAGAGAGGAAGAGAGAAAGAGCGAGAAACATCAATGTGAAAGGGGCACATCGAGTGGCTGCCACCCGCACGACCAACCAGGGCCGGGGACAAACTGCAACCGAGGTACATGCCCTTAGCGGGAACCGAACCCGGGTCTCTCTGGACCGCGGGCCGACACTCTAACCGCTGAGCCAAATTGGCCAGGGCTGGAATAATTATTTTTAATTATTATATAATTATTTTAATAATTACACCATAGTACATGGTCAGAACTAAGAAACCAACTCCGGTTTTTTGCCCTGAACTAAACTCCAGACCTCATCCAAATTCCACTAGTTTTCCCAGTAATGTGTCTTTTCTGTTTCGGGGCTCAATTCAGGATATCACCTTGTATTTAGCAGCATTGTTTATCATTATTATTATTATTATTACAGTTATAGTTATTCTTACTAATTCACATGCCTCCTCAGTGACTCCCAGTCACTAACTGAGAATCTGTGCCCAGGTGGAGGGGGACAGTGAGTATCACTGCCAGGCTCCTTGGGAACACACACTGACCACAGGACATTTGCTTAGCCTTTGTCTTCCATCACATGTGCTTACTACACTGGGAAACATCCTTATTTAACTTTCCAAATTAGCAAGAGTCTGTTTGGTACTCATTATGGTTATTTACCTCCTAATTGTTCTCATAAAAGGTTTGATGGAAAAAACCTTTTATGTTATGGTGACTATATGAGGTTTTGAATTATTCAAGGAATTTTTTATAAATTATTTTCCCTATAACATTTATTCTTTAAATATGTTTTTATTTATTTATTTTTATAGAGAGAGGAAGGGAGAGTTAGAAACATCAATGTGAGAGAGAAATATCGATCAGCTGCCTCCTGCATGCCCCCTACTGGGGATCGAGCCCACAACCCAGGCATGTGCCCTGACCAAGAATCGAACCAGGACCTCTCAGTCCATGGGACGATGCTCAATCCACTGAGCCACACTGGCCAGGCTCCCTATAACATTTTATTGAGCCCTGGCCAGTTTGGCTCAGCGGTTAGAGCGTCGGCCTGCGGTCCGGAGAGACCCGGGTTCGGTTCCCGCTAAGGGCACGTACCTCGGTTGCAGTTTGTCCCCGGCCCTGGTTGGTCGTGCGGGTGGCAGCCACTCGATGTGTCCCTTCACGTCGATGTTTCTCTCTCTCTCTCCCTTCCTCTCTCTCCCTCCCACTCTATCTGTACAAAAAAATGGAAAAATATCCTTGGGAGAGGATAAAAAAAAAAATTAAAAAAAAAAAAAAAAAATTTTATTGAGATGTAACTGATGTATAAGATTATATTAATTTCAGGTGTGCAACATAATGATTTGATACTTATATATATTTTTAAATGATCACCACAATAAGTTTAGCTAATATTCATCACTTCACATAGTTATAATTTTATGTGTGTTTTGAGAACTTTCAGGATTTACTCTCTTAGCAAATTTCAAATATATGGTGCAGTATTATTAACTATAGTCACCAGGCTGTACATGACATCCCCAGGACTTATTTTCCTTATAAGTGGGAGTTTGTACCTTTTGACTCCCTTCACCCATTTTGGCCCCTACCTCCTGCCTTGACAACCACCAGTCTGTTCTGTTCTGTGAGTTGGTTTTTGTTTAGATGCCACAGATAGGTGAGATCTTATTTCTGCAGGTAACAGTACTTGTCTTTCTCTACTTGTCTCGTTTCACTTATTTCATTTTAGAACTTCAGATTATGTCTGAGCCTTGAGTTAGTGCTATAGTATGCGTTACATCGACATACTTAAGTTACTAGGAGAACCTGTTCATCTGAGTAATATTCTGAGCCCACATGCATCAGTTCAGTACTGTGACTTCACAAATGAAAAACCTGAAACATTGATTTCGTGGAGGTGGCTCTTAAATTGTCAAAGCGTAACTGGATGTTTTTCTTGGAGCTTGCTTTTCTTTGCTCTGTACTGTGCATCTCAGAAACCCTCCTTCAACACAAACCGGCCTCTGAAAAGCCTGTGGGGTGTGTCTGTGGGTTGGGCAGCCGGGAGCCCAGGGACAGCCTGGGGACTGAGTGCCGCTGTGGTATGAGATGACTTTGCTTACGAGGACTCTGATTGTGCCATGTCTTTTTTTTCTCTTTTTCTCTTTCCTTTCCTAGCCTTTCTCAAGCACAACTTAGTAATTCGAAAATGCTTGCTTCTATCCGAGCCATGGTTCATACTCCAGGTATCATAGTGGATGTTTGCTCCCCTGTGGCACCACCTAGTTTAAACTCTTTGCCAAAATCCCAGTCCTTTTCCAATAGTGACTCTAAACCAACCTATTTAAGCTCTTAAAGGTACAGTATAGTTGCTACTTACTTGTGGTTGTCGTCATTTAAATAGCTTAGACTGATTCCACACCTCTCTGCTCCCTCAGGGTCATGCGTCTGTGCGCTGGTGTCTTGCAGGTGCTGATCCCAATTTCGCTCTATGTTTCCATTGAGATTGTTAAAGTTTGCCAAGTGTACTTCATCAACCAGGACATGGACTTGTACGACGAAGAGACAGACTCACAGCTGCAGTGCCGAGCTCTGAACATCACGGAGGACTTGGGGCAGGTCCAATACATCTTCTCAGATAAAACTGGCACTTTAACCGAGAATAAGATGGTTTTCCGGAGATGCACCGTGTCTGGCGTGGAATATTCCCATGATGCGAACGGTGAGTCTGCGGGTGGGGGCCCCACTGTGGGCTGGGCCAGACACACACACACACACACACACACACCTTTCAGGGGTTGCTGGGTTTTTTTTAAATTTTTTCTTTATTGGGTTTTAGAGAGGAAAGGAGAGGGAGGGAGAGATGGAAACATTGATGAGAAAGAACATCGATTAGCCGCCTCCTGCACACCCCCCACTAGGGACTGGACCCACATCCTGGGCATGTGCCCTGACGGGGAGTGGAGGGGGGATTGAACCGGTGACCTCCTGGTGCATGGGTCACGGCTCAGCCACTGAGCCACACGGGCCAGGCAGGGGTTCCTGATTTTTGAGGGAGCCTGAAATGAAGCTGAGCACTGTTGATGGAGAAGGCATTTCTGCATTGTTGACACTGCAGGGCACTCTTGAGGAACTGGTGCCTGGTGTCTTAGCCACAGGCCAAGAGATGTGCACAGGGGACTTCCCCTTCGTTCCTCTGTTCTCATCTCTGAAGAAACGCTGAGTGCAAGGCCTGGCGGGTAGGACAGACCGACGCCTGGGGCATCCCCGCAGCCACGCGTCCCTTCTCGCGCCTCTCACTAGCGCCACCTGGTGTTAGGATGCACACACTGAGGCCCAGCGCTGGGCTGCCCTTGAAGTTCTCAGCACAGTGACTGCTTGTTCTGAATGAGTAACCGCTCATGGGCGGTCTCCTTGCTGCTCATGCATGATGCCAGAGCTGCACTAACTGGGCACGGCCAGGAAAATGTGTCCAGAGCCATCCCTGAGCAAGGAGCAGCAGCGCGGACGCTCCAGAGTCGCTGAGCGCCACGTGGCTGCAGGGCTGGTGCTCGCAGCGCCCCCTAAGGGCCGGAACTAGCATAACAGTCCGGTCTTCCCGCGGAGCTTTGCAGGCTGGGCCCAAACCTGGTGAGGGGGGTCCAGGCCGTGCAACCCCGGGAGGACTGGGAGCCGCCTGGCGGCACCTCACTCGGTCCATTCAGGGTGAGTGCAGATAGTGCCCACCTGGGCCTGAGCAGGGAGCCCCTACCTTGCCGGTGGGAGAAAACCATCAACACAGCCTTGAGGACCATCATCTTTGTGTGACTGCAAGGCTCAGTGTGATCTGTCATGACGGCCCCGAGGAGCCAGGTGGCCCCATGACCCCCAGGGGGGGGCGCATGACCCCCGTTACTCTGTGGGCCAGGCTTCCCCAACCACCTGTCCCCCAGACCGCACTCACATCTAGGCTTCACCAGAACAGAGCCCATCTCCGCCCCCACCCAGCCTGGCCCTGCGTCCTGTGACCTTAGCAAGCTCTGGAAGTTCTCTGAGAATCGGCATTCTCATCTGTGAAGTTGAGGGCAGGTGCCGCCACGGGAGAGCATCCTCATCCCTCAGTGCAGACCCTCCCTGGAGGCAGCCTTGCCATGCGGGAGCGGGTGCGGGGCTCTGCAGACGCACTTCCTCTGCCCAGCCTCCCCACGCCTGTCCTCCGTGTCCTCCCCACAGCGCAGCGTCTGGCCAGGCACCAGGAGGCGGACTCGGACTCGGAGGAGGCGGTGCCCAGAGGGGGCTCGCTGTCCCCGCGTGGCAGCATCGGGAGCCCTCAGAGCATCCGGGCGCCACACAGGACCCAGAGCACCAAGGCGCACCGGCGCACGGGCAGCCGGGCGGAAGCCAAGTGGGCCAGCATGCTGTCCAAGCACACGGCCTTCAGCAGCCCCATGGTGAGTCCCGCCCGAGGACGGCCTGCAGCCCGCCAGAGCATGGTCGCCCTCCCTCCTGGCTGTCATCTCCCTGCCCATCAGAAGCCTCTATTTAATAACACGCGCTGCTGCTGGGTGGGGCTGACTCTGCTCAGTTAGCACAAGGTTTTCTGGACGACACCTCCTCCACGTGGCTGTCAACACAGCCCCTTTGCCACCACAGATCTGAGGCCGGGGACCCTGGAAACGGCCCCAGGTGATGCTGGAAATTCGGACTTTCCAGAGAAGCCAGAACGTGCTTGTGTAGGTGAAAAGGTGTATAGTAGAGGAAACAATGTAACAGGTACATAGTTCAGTGCCACATGGTTCAGGCATTCACTGAGGGCTTTGGAACATGCTGTCCACCCATAAGCGGGGCAGCTGGAGTTCTTAAAGGCCTGGGAAAGTTCAGACTACATAATACTTTGGAGAAACGGAAACTCCAATTTATACCTAAGTTTTATTGAGATGTGATTGACAGAGCAGTGTGTAAGCTTTAAGTTGGGAAATGCAGATCGCCTTCCACCTATCAGAACAGTTGTTAGAAATGCAGCTCGCCTTCCACCTATCAGAACAGCTGTTAGAAAGACAGCAGGTAACAAGAGTTAGTAGAGAAATTGGGCCTTTTACACTGTTGGTGGCATTGTGAGTTGGTTCGGCCACTATGAAAACAATAAGAAGGTTCCTCAAAAAATTAAAAATAGCCCGCCCTGTATGGCTCAGTGGTTGAGCGTGGACCCATGCACCAAGAGGTCGCCAGTTCGATTCCCAGTCAGGGCACATGCCCAGGTTGTGGGCCTGATCCCCAGTGGGGGGCACGCAGGAAGGGGCCAATCAATGTTCTCTCTCATCAGTGTTTCTCTCTCTCTCTCCCTCTCCCTTCCTCCCTCTCTAAAATCAATAAAGAAAAAATACTTTTTAAAAAAATTAAAAATTGAGCCCTGGCAAGGTGGCTCCATTGGTTGGAGCGTCGTCCCATACACCAAAAGGTTGTAGGTTTGATTCCTGGTCAGGGCACATACCTAGGTTTCAGGTTCAATCCCTGGTGAGCAACCGATCAATGTTTCTGTCTCTCTCAAATCAATAAACATATCCTCAGGTGAGGATTTAAAACAATTAAAAATAGAGCTACCCTAAGATCCAACAATCCCTCTTCTGGGTATATATCCAAAGGAAATGTATAAAATATGTTGGTGATGTAAAGTGTAAATGTGTAGAAAAAAAGCCTGGAGGAAAACATAAAGCATTTGTGTCAAAAAGTATATACAAGGTGGGCAAAAGGAAGATTACGGTTGTTCGTATGGAAAATAACCCAAGAATAAACTCTGTTTCATGTATTCACACTGTAAGATGATTTTGCTCCACCCTATTTTACCATGAGGTATTGTGATACACATGTATTAAATTTCTCCTTTTCCTCTCTGTTATTTCCAAATCTTTCTAAGATGTGTTATTTTATAATCATATATATTCTTAGATGTATTGTTTTATAATAAGAATGTGTATACCTTATATAAGAATATGCACATTTCACCCTGGCCGGTTTGGCTCAGCGGTTAGAGCATTGGCCCGTGGACCAGAGAGACCTGGGTTTGGTTCCTGCTAAGGGCATATACCTTGGTTGCAGTTTGTCCCCGGCCCCGGTTGGGGTTGTGTGGGTGGCAACCAGTCGATGTGTCTCTCTCACATCGATGTTTCTCTCTCTCTCCCTCCCTCCCTTTCTCTCTCTTGCTCTATCTGAAGATAAGTACAAACATATATATGCATTTAATTTCATCTGTAAGTTTCATATTTTTACAGATAAAATGATGCATAATTATCATTATGAAAGGGCATATGTGTATGTGTGTTTACAGCTTATAATAAAATCAAGGTGCCTTAAATAGTCAGCCATCAAGGCTCTTGGTTGGCCCCTGGGTCAGACTTGGTTTCTTCCAGGAGAAAGACATCATGCCCGACCCAAAGCTGTTTGAGAAGGTGAGTGAATGTGGCAGGTGTCTGGCCGTCGCGAGGCACCAGGATCACCCACTGGCCCACCTCTCGCCTGAGCTCTCTGACGTGTTTGACTTCTTCATCGCGCTCACCATCTGCAACACAGTGGTGGTCACGTCCCCAGATCAGCCACGACAGAAGGCAAGTCCCCCACGCCGAGCCCTCAACGCCCTGATGCCCAGGCTGCTGCAGTTGGGTGCCAGGATCAGGGCCCAGTGGGAGAGGACAGACACCCTCTGAGCCTGGACAGGAGGCAGGGACAGAAGGGTACCCCTTCCCACCCACCGAGTCTCAGGCTCCTAGCTTCATCCAGGAGAGAGATGACAGGACAGGCTGGGGTTCGAGACTCTGGGACAAGCCACCTGGACTTGAGCCCTGACTTCACCACCCAGCTCACTGAGCAGCTTGGTATTTGTTTTAAAAGATTCTTTGGAGTTTGGGAATGTGATTTGTAAATTTAAATTTTTTATGGATAGAATCCAGAGAAATGTATAAACTCGTCTTTTATTAAGTGATTTTATGGGGGTGGGGGGTTGGTGCTGTGGCAGGCGATGAGAAGCCCGCTCCTCTGAGCTTTTCTGCAAACCTGTAGGACAGGCTGAAAGCCTGCAGACACTCCTGAGCCTCAGGCGGGTGGACCTGGTAACCACATCCTGCAAGAATGCGTGTGGCCTGACGTTTGTTTAAGTGAAGAGGTCAAAGGGTGGCCTCAAGAGAGATGCTGGCTGTGGTTGCCACTTCCTTGCACGCCCCGAAATCTGGGAGTTGGGAAATACAGGACTGCCCTGTGGCAGCCTGGGTGGGCCCCAGAGACCCACTTCACCTGTCTCCTGACTGGGTGTCTTGCAGGTGAGGATGAGGTTTGAGATGAAGTCCCCGGTGAAAACCATAGAAGACTTCCTCCGGAAGTTCTCGCCCAGCCGCCTGGGGAGCAGCGTGGGCAGCCTGGCCACCAGCAAGTCCAACCACAAGTCAGCGTCCAGCTTCCTGTCGGTCCTGTCCTCGGACAGCGCCCTGTTCAAGCTGGAGGAGAAGCTGGGCCCGCCGTCCCCCGCGGTCGCCAGCAACAGCTACAGCCACGGGGAGGACGGCTGGGCCCCGGGACAGGAGCCGAAGCCCGAGCTGCGCTACGAGGCCGAGAGCCCCGACGAGGCGGCGCTGGTGTACGCCGCCCGGGCCTACCACTGCGCGCTGGTGGACCGGCTGCACGACCAGGTGTCGGTGGAGCTGCCCCACCTGGGCAGGCTCACCTTCGAGCTGCTGCACACGCTGGGCTTTGACTCCATCCGCAAGAGGATGTCGGTGGTGATCCGGCACCCACTCACCGACGAGATCTACGTCTACACCAAGGGGGCGGACTCTGTGGTCATGGACCTCCTGCTTCCCTGCTCCTCAGGTACCAATACCAGGAACATACGCCCCCAGTGGCCCCCTGTGGTCACTGCAGCACTCTTTGCAGTAGCCCGCATATGGCAGTAGCCCAAGTGCCCAGCAATAGATGAGTGGGTCAAGAGTTGGGGTACGTACATACAATGGAATATTACTAAGCCATGAAAAAGAGTGGCGTCTTGCCATTTGGGACACCATGAACGGACCTAGAGGGTTTTATGCTAAGTGAAATAAGTCAGTCGGAGACAGACAAATACCATATGATCTCACTTATATGTGGAGTCTAAAAAATAAAATCAGTGAGCAAGCAAAGAAACAGACTGTAGACAAAGATCACAGACTGACAGTTGCCAGAGAGGATGGGTTTGGAGGAGGGGTGGAAAAAAGTGAAGGGATTGAGAAGTACAGGTTGCCAGTTATAAAAAGAGTCGTGGGGATGTAAAGTACAGCACAGGGAATATTGTCCATAACATTGTAATAACTACAGGTGGTGCCATGTGGGCACTGGAAATATCCTGGGAACCACTTTGTAAAGTATAAGATTGTCTAATCCCAAACTAATACAAAATTCTGGATGTCAACTGTAATTGAAAAATAAAAAAATTTTTTAATTAAAATAAATAAATAAAGGGGGCACAGTGTAGAGGTCCCCAGATTGGCTCCAGCATCCCACTGTTTTTCTCACTTGCTTGCATTTCTACTTCTACCCCAACCTAGATGATGCCAGGGGCAGGCATCAAGAAAAAATCCGCAGCAAGACTCAGCATTACCTCAACCTGTACGCGGTGGAAGGCCTGCGGACCCTGTGCATCGCCAAGAGGGTGAGCGGGGGCCTGCCAGGGCACAGCGTCCCCAGGGCTCCGTGAGGCAGGCACTGCCCGGAGCGGGCACTCCTCCCTGAGCCTGAACTCCTCCCTGAGCGGGCACTCCCCCCTCCCAGGAGCAGGCAGTCCTCAGAGGGGGCACTGCCCTGAGCCGCAGGTGTCCCACGCAGGTGCTGAGCCAGGAGGAGTACGCCTGCTGGGCACAGAGCCACCTGGAGGCAGAGTCCTCCGTGGACAGACGGGAGGAGCTCCTCTTCCAGTCAGCCACCCGCCTGGAGACGAACCTGCACCTTCTGGGTGAGCTTCGTGGACGGCGTTCTTGGCAGAGATGATCCTGGATGGGGAGGTGACGTGGCTGCAGGTGGTGGCGCCTCTGCAGGTGCTGGGCTTGCTTACGGAACCACTGCTGGAGGCTGGCTCGGCCCCAGGGGCACCGCCTTGATGGAAGGTTCTCTCCATGGCCCAGCCCGGGGTTCCTCAGGAGCCCCACCGTGCACTCCACCGGGACGGCCGGCTTGCCTCCCCTTAAACCCTGCTTCCCCACCAGCAACAGAAGCCACACTTGTGCCTCCGACCAGGTGCCACGGGGATTGAAGACCGCCTGCAGGACGGGGTTCCCGAAACCATCGCCAAGCTGCGGCAGGCAGGCCTGCAGATCTGGGTTCTCACGGGCGACAAGCAGGAAACAGCCATTAACATCGCTTACGCCTGCAAACTGCTAGACCAGGACGAGGACGTCCTCACCCTCAACGCGGAGTCCCAGGTACATGCATTTCGGGGACACCCTCGCACTCAGGGCCCCCACGCTGCGAGATGGTGCCAGGGGCCTGCTCTGCCTGGCAGCTGCTGGGACGAGCCGCTGCCCTGGGCCTGGACCTGTGTTCTGTCTGGCACTGCCTGGGAGCACGTGACCTTTCTGGGGTTTCTTAGCTTCAATGGAACGCACATCTGGGATTTCTTTTTTTTAATCCTCACCCAATGTTTTTACTGATTTGAGAGAGAGAGGGAGAAAGAATGAAACATCAGTGTAAGAGAAAAACATTGATCGGTTGCCTCCTGTCCACACCCTGACTGGGGATCAAAATGGAAACCTTTGGTGCACAGGACGATGCTCCAACCACTGAACCACCCGGCCAGGGCTGGGCTTTATTCATGCAAAGTTCAGCCTGCTGTTTCCTGACAAACTGTCCACGTCAGCAGTGTCAGGGAATTTTTCCCTGAGGTCACGAGGGCGGACGAGGGCAGCAGGTCCCTTCAGCACCAGCATCCTCGGGTCGGCATGGGCTGCCTCAAGGATGTCCCGGTGGGCACAGAGGCTCCTGGACCGATTTAAACACCTGAGTGTAGGGAGTTTCTGCGACTCCAAGGCCCTCGCCGCACCTGGTAACACTCTGCACCCTGGTCTGTGACTGGTCACCGGGATGTGTCTGTTTCCGGCTGCCGGCCTTTCGCCCAAGGCCAGCAACTGTGTCTCCTCTGTCTTTTTTTCCCTCCTGTCTCACTCACTTTTCTAACCATAAAAGGTCCCCAGTAAGTGTGTGGGGGGCACAACTCGATTTCCATGGCACATTGCAGGAAACGGGTTGCTAAGCGGGCTTCCTGTCCACGGAGGACCAGGGGCCACTTTCGTCCCTACAGCCTTCGGGCTCCCTCAGTCCACCCGGCCAGCAGTGGAGCCCAAGACGGCCAGGCCTGGAGGGACGACTCCCGCTGCAGCCTCTGCACCGTCAAAACCCTGGACCAGCTCATTCTCTTCCGTGTGAAAAGTCATCCTCTTAACTAACCCAGTTTTAAGAGGGAACCTGGGCAGAGCCTGCAGCCTGGTGCCCAGGAGATGATGGAGCCGGATGTGTGTGGGGTGACCTGGTCTGTGGGGCGGCCGAGTCACAGCACTGCCCTCTTGTGTCTGTTTCAGGAGGCGTGCGCGGCCCTGCTGGACCAGTGCCTACACTACATGCAGGCCAGGGGCCCTCCGAGCGCCCCAGAGAAGACCTCGGGGAACGTGAGCGTGAGGTTCTCCCCTCTCTGCCCGCCTTCTGCGACCGCCACCTCCAGGCCCTGCCCAAGCCTCGTGATCGATGGGAGAAGTCTGGCCTACGCCCTCGAGAAAACCTTGGAAGACAAATTTCTCTTCCTCGCTAAACAGTGCCGATCGGTCCTCTGCTGTCGCTCAACACCCCTGCAGAAGAGCATGGTGGTGAAGCTGGTCAGAAGCAAGCTCAAGGCCATGACTTTGGCCATAGGTAAGTGTGCGGCCAGCCTACCTGATGCACTGCTGCCTCTCAGCGCTTCCTGAACTTCCTGCCCTTCCGTGCCGCACCACAAGATGGGAACATGCGCCCTGGCCAGTTTGGCTCAACGGTTAGAGCATCGGCCTGCGGTCCGGAGAGACCCGGGTTCGGTTCCCGCTAAGGGCACGTACCTCGGTTGCAGTTTGTCCCCGGCCCTGGTTGGTCGTGCGGGTGGCAGCCACTCGATGTGTCCCTTCCACATCGATGTTTTTCTCTCTCTCCCTCCCTTCCTTTCTCTCCCTCCCACTCTATCTGTACAAAAAAATGGAAAAATATCCTCGGGTGAGGATAAAAAAAAACAAACAAAAAACAAAACAAAACAAAACAAAAAGATGGGAACATGCTTCTTCGATTTTTTAAAAATATGTTTTTATTGATTTTTGTAGAGAGAGAGGAAGGAAGAGAGATAGAAACAATGATGTGAGAAACATTGATCAGCTGCCTCCTGCACGCCCCCTACTGGGGACCGAGCCTGCAACCCAGGCTTGTGCCCCAGCCGGGCTTTGAACCAGGACCTCTCAGTCCCTGGGAGGATGTTCAATCCACTGAGCCACACCAGCTGGCCATGCTTCCTTGATTTTTTTTCTATTTATAAAATCATACCCAATGCAATAAAGTGGTGGCCTGTTCCAAATATAATGCTTAGATCAGACAACCAGCAGTTACAGCCACATATTAGGAGGTCAGTAATGCAGTGGTGGTTTAAGAAAATGAACTTACTGTTTCCTGGGAGATGGGGTGGAAATCTGCCGGTCCCAGGCTGTCACGGCCTCAGCAGACGGCCCTGCGTGCTCAGCACTAGCCCAGGCCAACTCAGAAAGAAGGTTCTTTGCAGGTGCTCTGGTCACTGCAGGCTGCCTGGGGTCCAGGGTTTCATCATGCCTGAAGGATCCAGAGACTTGGGGGTGATCAGAATGCTCACGGCCTCTTGTCAGCTGAACTTTGCTGATTGTTCCAAGACAACCAGTTAATTAAATAAATTCATCCTAAGATGGGAATAGCTTAAGGACCAATGGAGTTTTCTCCTGCACCCTCTTGGCCTGGAGAGCCTTCTAGGCTCCTCTCCTGTGCTACCTGGTACTCACCAGCCTCCTCCCAGGGTGTCCTGCCTGCCCACCTCAGGTTGGGGTCCAGCCTCTAGCCAGGCTCAAGGGCTCAGCAGTGCCACCTGCTGGTGAGGGCCGGGAAAGACTTCAGGGTTTTTCTGCATATAGAACCCACACCTGGATGAGAGATGGCTCTGAATAAAACATCCTCACTGATCAATACTAATTACAGTATTTTCTGCAAACGGTTTATGACAGCCATCCTCATTGGCGTGGGGGCTGCCTCCCTGTCACACAGGGCACCTCATCGGGACAGAATTGAGGCCATTGTAGAGCCTGGGTCGGAAGCGGGGTAGCCTGGGCGTGGTTGTCATGGAGACCGCCCTGCACATCCCAGAGGTTTGAGGGCTTTGGTAATGGTGCCCAGAGGGGAGGGAGCGGGCGCAGACCTGAGCATGAACACGTTTTTAGCGGTTCCCTGGTCCAGGCTGAGGGAAAACAGGCAGCGCCTTTGGGGATGGGCCCCTCCCAGGGGCAAATGTCTCAGGACCACCCTTGTCCTCACGCACCTGGAGTGGCCTTCACATCCCCTGAACAAGTCTCTGAGGCAAGAGGGCAGGAGCCTACAGCCGGGGTCTGCACCTTCCTCACTAACCTTGCCCGTCTGAGCTCCTGTCCTCGGTAATAACATGAGGACAGTGTCCCCTGGCTCGGCTGCTGTCTGGATGGTGAACCACATTTGCTCAGCCTGGTCGGTGCCTGGCTCAGCCACTGAGTCACTGACATGAGGTATTCACTTAGAGTAGAGGCAAAGCCTTGGCTGGTTAAACAGAAAAGAAACAAAATAGAATCAAAAGCGAAAGCAGTGACCCATGAGAACCTCAGCTTATTTTTTTGACCGTGAGTTAAAGCATCGATGTGATCTAGTCCCAGACCCCAGAGATTAGTAACAGAGAACATTGTCGTCCATCATATCTTATTTTGAATGGGACATTCTGGGAAAAGCTGTAGAGATGGTTATTGCTTCACAGAATTTCAATTCGACAAATATTGACTGATTACCCACGTTGGGCCCAGAGCAATAAGGAATAGAACCGCAGGAGAGAGACATCCGGTGGCCACGTGGTGAGTCACTCGGACTTGATGTATCTAAACTCCTCGCGTATCTGAAACTTGGCATCCCGTGGTCTGGCTCCTTCTGGCGTCCTGTTCAGTGAGTGATGGTGACAGAGTTTCTACTTGCCTTTCCCCGAGGGTACCGAGAGCTCTAGCCTATGCCCTGTGTGGCTAACATTTTCTATATGTGCTTATAGAACATTATATCTATAAGGATATAAGTGCTACTTTGTGGCACAGTCACGGGGTGCAGAGGTGAGCACGGAGCTCATAAGCTAGCTGGTAGTCAGTGTGCAAAACGATCTCAGCCATTTTCTGGGCGGAACCTGCCCTTCTTCGTTCTGTGTAGGAAGCACCCAGGTGAGTAGGAATCGAATAGCCTTGATATGCTGGAGATATGATGAAGACTGGACCAGCTTCAGACAGGGTAGTGATGAAGAGGAGGGCTCGTTCACTGGGCCAGACACCCTGTTGAGGGCTCTGTGTGTAGGAGGCAGCAATGCCGAGTGAATATTAAGTAAAAAAGTATCTGCATCAGCCTGCTTTCTGAAACACTTGTTGGTGTGGCTGATAATTCCGGCCCTCGCACCATGGTTGTTCTGAGGGCCTGACTCCATTCCCCCAGGGCTTTTCCTGGCTCGTCTCGGGACCCTTTCGCAGGACTCCGCCCAGTGGGGACCCCGTGCAGGTCCGCCCTGCCGATTAGATTCTGTGGATCTCCACTCAAACAGTTCTTCCCGCCTGTGCTGTTTCTAGGCGATGGAGCCAACGATGTCAGCATGATCCAGGTGGCTGATGTGGGTGTGGGCATCTCAGGCCAGGAGGGCATGCAGGTAAAGACCCGTCGGCTGTCCTGGGTGACCCCGTGGCTCATGTTGCACCGTCCCGGGGGCTCTGTCCAACAGAGCTAAAGGGTTGACCTTCCGCACACTGGTGCTCACCTTCTGCTAAGCCAGTCATAAAAGATAAGGTGGCCCTGGCCACTGTGGCGCAGTGGTTAGAGCGTCGGCCTGCACACTGAAGAGTCGCGGGTTCCATTCCAGTCAAGGGTACACACCTGGGTTGCAGGTTTGATCCCGGCACAGGGCGCATGCGGGAGGCAACCCGTCGATGTGTCTCTCTCACATCAGTGTTTCTCTCTCTCTCCCTCTCCCCTTCCCTTCCACTCTATCTAAAATCAATGAAAAAGATATCCTCAGGTGAGGATTAACAACAACAAAAGAGATAAGGTAAAGGTGACTCCATACTTACGAATCAATGTGCAGGAGATATTTTTCCGAAGAAAGTAGAGCAGAGAGTCAAGGCGAGTCATCGCCTCCTCTGCGGCTGTGGGCACCTCCTCCTAGGCTGACGCTTTTTGCTGTTCCTAAGCACTGGTGACAGCATTTGAAAAACTACCTCTGCTGAAGTTGAACCTGGGAGCACTGCAGACCTGGGAGCACTCTTGAAAAGTCATCCCTTCCCTGTCCTTGCTGAAATGCATCCATTAAAAATGGACTGCTTTCGGCCCTGGCCAGGTGGCTCAGTGGTCTCAGGATGGCAGCTGTCTGTGTCACTCGCAGAAGGGGCAGCTGTGGCCCATCGTCGAGCTGAGATCTTGACACAGCTGTGGTGACGACAGGATCACGGCAGAGAACAGCAGGCAGTCTGTGCATCTCCTTGGCGGTTGTTTTGTTTTTTGTTTTTTGTTTGTGGCTTGTTAAAGAAAGTGTGGGAAAGAAAAAGTAAACATTTTTTTAAAAATCCATCCATTACATATATTTGACATCTTAAATGAGTCCTACAACATGATACCCCTGAACGAGAGTCTTGCTGAGATAGAATTTTTCTTTAATGGAAGTTTACCGTGAGAACGAGCCCTGGCCCGTCACACGCGTGCAGACTTTGTTACAGACATTTCTCCTTTTTTGTTACAAGATTTCTCTACCTGGGTTTGCCTTGTGTCAGGGGGTAGGACAGACTTTAGGCAGAAGGGGGTCCCACTAGTAACGGAATCCTCCCCCTTTCAAGGCAGTGATGGCCAGCGACTTCGCCGTGCCCAGATTTCGGTACCTCGAGAGACTGTTAATTGTTCACGGACACTGGTGTTATGCCCGACTTGCCAACATGGTGCTGTACTTTTTCTACAAAAACACGGTAGGTGTCAGATGCCACTAGTCCCTGACTGTTTGAATTAACAGGCCTGGCCTGAGATTTATAGGACCATCACCCAAATGCGGCCAGCAGGACGCCCCACAGCCACCCCGCAACCCCCGTGGGTCAGAGTGGCCACCTGCAGCGGGCACAGCCCCTGCCCGGCTGGGTGGATCTGTCCTCACAGAGGGGCCAGGATGGGAAGAGCAGAGGTGTGTCTATTCCCTGTAACATGCCGGGCCTCTGTTAACAACCACTTGATCTACTTGAGAAGTTCAAGGATGATCACTCTCCCTCCCAAAGTGAGAAATTCATTAGCTTTAGGAATAAGTTGGCCTTCCTTCCCAATAAAGAGAAGAGACGTTTCCATAGCAACAGTGGTTTGGGAAGAAAGCTTCTGGTACCACAGGGGGAAAAAACACTCAATTATCTTAGTTCCTTTTCTCCTTTCCTACTTACTCACTGATGACTCATGAGGCCTACTGGGGGGGGGGGGGGTGCGGGCGTGGGAGCAGGGTTCGTGGAGAAGCTACATGTGTCCATTTCGGTGTAGAAAAGGAGACCATCCCATTCTTTTTTTTTTTTTAATTAATTTATTTTTGTTATAGACATATCTCCTTTTTCCCCCAATGACACCCTCCTCCCGATCCTGCCACCTCCCAGAATTGTTGTCTATGTCCACTGGTTATGCGTACATGCGTATAAGTTCTGTTGTTTATCTCGTTCTTCCCCCTGCACCCCCTTCTGAGATTTATCAGTCTGAACCCTACTTCTATGTCTCTGGGTCTATTTTGTTCATTATATTCCACAAATAAGTGAGATCATGTGATATTTATCTTTCTCTGACTGGCTTATTTCACTTAGCATAATGCTGTCCAGGTCCTTCCATGCTGTCTCAAAGGGTAAAAAATCTTTCTTACAGCTGCATAGTGTTCCATTGTGTATATGTACCACAGCTTTTTTATCCCCTCATTTCCAGATCTTAGCAATTGTAAATGTGCTGCTATGAACATGGGGCTACGTATATTCTTTCTGATTGGTGTTTCAAGCTCCTTAGGATGTATTCCTAGAAGTGAGATCACTCGGTCAAATGGTAGATCAATTATTAATTTTTTGAGGAAAAACCATAGTGTTTTCTATAGTGGCTGCACCAGTCTGCATTCCCACCAGCAGTGCACTAGAGTCCCCTTTTCTCCACACCCTCATCAGCACTTGTTGTTTGATTAAATCTCTTGTTGTTTCATTTGGGATTTATCTCTTTGTTTCACTATTTTGGCTGTTTCAGTCAGTTTTGGAGCCTGCCAAATTTTCCCTGTGGGTGTTGGTGTTCTGCTGGTTGTGGCTCCCTCTACTGGGCTTGGATGAGTGTGGGAGGACCCATGTTAAACACCACTGTCAGGTCTTACTTTCCTGGGTAGATTTGCAGGCCAAGCAAAGGTTCTGCTAACCTCTAGCTTTTGCCTGGAGGCTATTAATCTTGGTTACTTGATGAGCCTTGATTTGTAGCCTTCAGCTGAATGAAAAATCCCTCAGGTGTAAGAGGATTTCCAGCGGGTGGGGCATTTGCTTGCTGTCAGGCTCTAGCTGTTAATGAGCCTCAATTTGCATTTCTCTGGCCTGGCTTTGGTGTTGTTGAATTCCTGAGGGAGGAGCTGTTACTTCTCCCCAGGGCTCTGGGAAGGGGCTCTTTGAGTAACATGACTATTGTCCAATGGGGGAGCGATTCAGCATAAAACTCCCGGTGTCCTCTCTCCCCTGAGCCATGGACCCGGGACTTTCTTCACACAGCTCCAGTCCAGTCCACCCTCCCTATGCCAGAGCCCAAGGTGAGTGGCTGTAACAGATTTGGTGCTTTTTTTAGCCCCACCTTCTCAGCGGGAACTGCTCACAGCTAAAACAGCCTTCAGCTGCTGTCCGTGGGCTCCCAGCTCACCCTCTCACACCTCCTCTGCTACTACCTGGCTCGATTTGTTCTCTTTCCGTCCCTGGTTATAAGGGTTCTCTCCAGCTGCTTTTTCGTTGTTTTTTCCTGATGATTTGTCTTTATTTTAGTTGTAACACCAGTTTGGTCCTGGGAGACAGTCTCTGTAGCTTCCATTCACTCCGCCCCCATTTTTTTCCCCAATCGAGACCATCACGTTCAATCATAGGTTGAAACAAGACTTGGAAGGTGTCATCGGAGGTTAGGTCAATACAGACTATCCTTTTATCTGGTCTTCTAGGGCTGTTCCTGGGCATTCTCGGCTCCCAGTGCCCATCCTTTGTGTTCAAGGGGGAGAGAGTGAAGGCAACCGGGTTGGGGCTGTCTTTGGAGGAAACTGCTGCCTATAAATTCAGTCTTTGCCGTCAAACCCGGCAAAGCCCTTAGACCCCTTGGGTGAGAATCCACGGGGCATCCCTGAATTGCTTTTCCTTTTCTCTCCTTGATGCCAGATGTTCGTGGGTCTCCTATTCTGGTTTCAGTTCTACTGTGGCTTCTCTGCGTCTGCCATGATCGACCAGTGGTACTTGATCTTCTTTAACCTGCTCTTCTCCTCGCTGCCCCAGCTCGTGACTGGGGTGCTGGACAAGGACGTGCCTGCCGACCTGCTGCTGGCCGAGCCGCAGCTGTACAAGAGCGGCCAGAACATGGAGGTGAGGCTCCCTCCTCCCCGCCTGTCTCCCTCCTGCCCTGTCCATGCACCTCCTGGAAAGTGCAAGCAACAGGCCTCTCTGGGACACATTCTTAACGTTCAGGACTCTAACTTGTGAGAGGAAAGAAATGAATGCTGCCTACTTGACCATGCATTGTATTAAATAGAAGGGATTGGCATGGTGATGGTGTCAGGGGCTTATGCCTGTGTCCAGACCCGTTAAGAGGCGTACATTTAATGTACGCAGTGTTTGTGTATCCATTTACCTCAACAAAGCTTTACAAAAGGAGGGTTAAAATAATGTATAATGGGGCCCAGCCGGTATGGCTCAGTGGACTGAGCATCATCCCAGGGACTGAGAGGTCCTGGTCCGATTACCGGTCAGGGCACATGCCCAGGTTGCGGGCTCGATCCCCACTAGGGGGCGTGCAGGAGGCAGCCGATTGATATTTCTGTCTCACATCATTGTTTCTATTTCTTTCTCCCTTCCTCTCTCTTTAAAAAATAAAATCAATAAAAACATATTTTTAAAAAATGTGTAATGGGACAAAAGCTTTCTGTTTGCACACTCAGCTCCAGAAGCCGAAGGGGGGCCCACTCGCATCTAAGTTAAACTCACCTGGATGGGGCTGCGGAGCAGGACTTCTTTCTAAAAGAACCCCCGAGAATTGTGGCTTATTTTGCATGAGAATTAACAAGAAAATAAATGCATAGGGAAACTGTGGGAAGAACAAGTGAATACAAACAGATGTAAATACGTGTAAATACACCGCATGGATTCACATGCTAATTACCAGCTACTGCCAGCCAGCCATTAAAGGAAGCCATCCAGTGCTTCTGAGCCGGGCGGAATCATGCTACACGTACAGGAGTATCCAATTCAGAACTGTTCTGTGTGTGCGTCTCGAATTCAGGGTCGTTCTGTGCGTACAGTAGCCTTGAATTCAGAGTTTGTTTGCTAACCAGTTGACGTACCCTGGTCACCTTTGACCTTGGGTTCCCATCTAAGCAGGCAGCTGGGGTGGGTGGGGGAGTCAAGGCAGGCAGGGGAGAAGCTCCACTTGTGCCTGTCACCTTGGGGTTCTCGCGCTCTGCCAGGCCGCACCCCTCCACGTGGGGCCAGGACGCGGGGCCTGTCCTATGGGGCTGCCACCAGCACCTTCTCTCTGCTCTGTGTTCCCGCTCGGGACTCGCAGTGCCAAGTCCCTGTGGCTGCCCACGTCATGAAGACTGACCAAGGTCCTTTTTGCCCTTGGTGCACAGCTTTTGGGGGTCAACACGAGGAAACAGGCAAGGTCGAATTCTAAAAGATCCCTTTCAGGAAATAGGGGACCCACCCTCAGAGGAGGCCCAGGGTTCCAGGGGCTCTTCCTCCGCTGGGGATCTGCCCTGACGTCGAGCTAGACGTGCGGCAGCTGCTCTTGTGGGCACAGCTGCGCCGGGGCATCTGCATGGCGTTCCCTCGCCAGCCTCTGACCTCGCAGAGGTCCTGCGTCAGCAGGGCCCCCGGGAGCTTGACTGGCGCACTGACGCCCTGTGGGCAGAGTTGAGCCCTTCCCTGTAACGCGGCCTGTGTTCTCGCTTGTGTCTCAGGAATACCGGCCCCGTACCTTCTGGTTGAACATGGCTGACGCCGCCTTCCAGAGCCTGGTCTGCTTTTTCATTCCTTACCTGGTAAGTTGGCACCTGGCGCCGCCCTTCCCCCTCAGCTTTACCCAGCTGCCCACAGACAGGACAACGCTGTCTTTCAGGCCTACTACGACTCCGACACAGATGTGTTCACCTGGGGGACCCCCATCACCGCCATTGCTCTGCTGACCTTCCTCCTGCACCTGGGCATTGAAACCAAGACCTGGGTAAGAGTGTGGTGTGACCCGAGGGTGCTGCTGCCTCCGGGCGCCTCCATGCAGGTCCATGAGCTCTGGAGGTTCTGAGCAAACAGGACTGTAAAGCGACCTCACTTTACAGAAGGAAACTGGATCCACGAGCCAGCTGTGCCCCAGAGCCCAGGCCCTGCCCTCCTGGGCGGCACAAAGCTGCTTCCGCCCTCTCTCCCCTCCTTCAACAGGTGCTGTTCTTCCCGACAGCCCTGACTTCCTTCTGCCCCTGTGTCCAGGCTGGTCCACAGGTTCCTAAGCGCCACCCGCCCCCGTGTCAAAGACCCTGCTTCCGCTAAGCCCTTAGAACAGCACCGCAGCCCGGCCACTGTGGCCCAGCGGGCTGAGCGCCGTCCCAGGGACTGAGAGGTCCCAGTTCGATGCCCAGTCAGGGCACATGCCCGGGTTGTGGGCTCGATCCCCAGTAGGGGGCGTGCAGGAGGCAGCAGATGGATGTTTCTCTCATAGATGTTTCTATCTCTCCCTCCCTCGCTCTCTAAAATCTCAGTTACAAAGCCACTCACAGAGGCCCAGTGCATTGTAGCTGAAACACGGCCCTTTCTCGCTGTCTGCCCTCAGACCTGGCTCAACTGGACGGCCTGCGGCTTCAGCACCCTCCTGTTCTTCGCCGTGGCGTTTGTCTACAACAGCTCCTGCGCCACGTGCTACCCGCCCTCCAACCCCTACTGGACGGTGCAGACGCTGATGGGCGACCCCGTGTTCTACCTGACGTGTCTCATCGCGCCCATCACTGCCGTGCTGCCCCGGTGAGTGTCGGAGAGCTGTCCCCCGAGACCTCCGTGAGCCCGGGAGCACTTCCATTTCCTCGGCGAGCCTCCGAGAGCTACAAGGCAAACCCCACAACGCTAGCTGACCTGTTGTATTGTGCTCTTTCCAGATTGTTTTTCAAAGCTGTGCAGGGGACCCTGTTCCCCACCCAGCTCCAGCTGGCTCGCCAGTGGTCCAAGCGGTCCCCCAAGAAACTCGGCGCTCTCAGCAACACTCAGGGACACCTCCCGGGAGAGCCGAGGCCTGAGCCGTCAGAACACAGTTGCATCAGTGACTCAGGGCCTGTCTCCCAGGACTGTACCTCGAAGGTGTCTTGGCACACGCCACAGCCACCCAGCTCCTCAGAGGCCAGCGAGGAGCCCAGCATGGTGGACATGAGCCTGCCTTTGAGGGAGGCCTTGAGCAGTCAGGGCCCGGGAGACTCCAGGATCAAACCCACCAGCGCCACCAGGACAGTGCCCCTGTCATCCTTCTTCAGTCTCTCCGGCTTCAGTTCCCTCAACTGGATTTCCTCCCTGTCCCTGGTCAGCGGGCTGGGAGGTTTCTTACCGTTCTCCCAGAACGGTTTGCAGATGGACAAGCGGGAAGCTGAGTTCTTGCCCAGCCCCTCGAAGCCGGACCAGGACTTGCGTGATCTAGGCAAGCAGTCCACCGACTACTTCTAGGAGCCCGGGCCAGGGGACGGCGGAGGTGGAACCGCAAACGGCCTTCTTTTTTTATAACATAGATGTTAATATTATTTATGTTTATTATTTGCACAGAAGAGGTCTAGCCAGATGCATTTTGTGTTTCTCAGGCCCGCACCAGAAACAAGAGGTACCAAAAAAAAAAAGAAAGTTTATTTTTTAAAAGTTCTAAGTAGAGTATATGGGGAAAGAAAAGTAAGAGCTTTAAAGTATATAAAAGTTTAAAGGAGAGCGCCCCTCGGCGAGTGTGTGCGGATTTATTGCCTCCATCTCATTTTGTAAGAAAACGCAGTGTGGTTGGTTTTGTTCAGCACGCGTGACCTTGGCTTCCGCCACGTGTGAATGTGGGTGTGCACAGTAGTCCCGGGTGGGTGTGGGCAGCAGTGAGGGGAGATGATGGGGGCCAGCATGAGACCCCGGCAGCAGCTCCCCCAGTTTGTCCCCCACCCCCACAGCCTGGGAAGGCAAAACATGAGACCTCAGGAAAAACGCCTGTGTGAAGTTCACCGCACATTCGATTCTAAGGTCACCCTTGTGGGAGTTCCAGTCTCTGCATGGGGTCTGGCCTGTCAAAATCATAACAAGCAATAAACGACTTTCACTTGCAAAGGAGTGTGCCCTCGCTGCTGTGTGCCTGATCGCGACCATGTGGCTGACGCGGGTCTGACCCCAGGGCGCTCCCGCCCAGCGAGCCCCTTCGGAGTGGAGGAGACAGGTGTGGACCGCACACGGCTCCACAGTGACATTGTGACAGCCACACCATGGCTCCGCACCAGGCCACTGGTACCCCAGGCCCTTCCTGCCGCTGGGCCAGGCTTTTGAAGCGCGAATTTTTAGGCATTTGTCTAATGAGTCATTATTTCTGTTCCTCTACACAGAAAAGAGGGAAAATGAGAATAATCCAAGGCGATTATATATAGCACTTCCTCATGGGGCCCTCTCTCTGCTGCCTGCTCGGCTCAGCCTGGGGCCACGAGGGGAGCAGGGTGTGCCCCCGGCTCAGGGCTCCTGTGGCTGCCTGTCCCCCAGCACGGCAGGGGCCGCCAGCCACCTACCCGGAGTGTGCGTGACCAGGCACAGCTGCTCTGATCACATGGGGAGTGGGGCTCACAGTCTGCGAGCCGGAGGCCGTGTGAGCTTGAGGCTGAACTCAGTGTCCCAGACGCGGGGCTGTCCCCTTCTCCCTGCCCTCAGCGTTCAGGGTCAGTTTGGGCCTCAGGTGGCCCTGTTCTTGGTGATGATGGGGCGGCAGCCAGCCCAGGACCTCTGCTCCCATCTCCCGCCAGACCAGAGAGGGCGCCACCCTCCACATCTCCATCAGAGCCCTGGTGTCTCTCCCTTCCCTGGGCTCCACTTCCTAGTGAGCTCAGGGTCTGAGACCGAGAACCTGGCTTGGGGGCTGTCACTGGCTGCAATTGTTGTTCGATTTGGAAAAAGTACTGACCCTGGGTCAGGGACAGTGTCAGGCCATGGATGGCTCTGCGCCCCAGCAACTCTGAGGGGACACCTGTGGGCCCCTTCTTTGCCCTCCAGGCTGATGGGTCAGGGCCCAAGTGCACTAACTCAGCAGCTTCCACAGACAGTGTCCCAAGTTGGGGCGTGTGCCAAGGCCAGTTTGTCGGCGGTGTTTCCTGTTACCGTCTAAGGACAGCGCCATCCAAGGCCCCGCGACGTCCGTCTCGCATCCTGCTCCGAGGCTGGAAACAGCGGTGCCGGAGCTCGCGTTGTGGGCCACGCGCACGCTGGGGGTGCTCCTGCGGGCCGTCCCCCTGCGCCCGCACAGGAAGTGACTGCAGGACAGCTCCGAGCAGACAGAGCAGCTGGGCTGCCGAGGAAGAGCCGAGGATCCCACGGAAGTGGCGCGTTGCACAGAAGTACACACAGTGACGTTGCCGCCCACCCCCCTTCTTTAAATACACAAAAGAGAGATCGCGATATTTTAAGCACTTACTATTCTTGAGACTTTTCAATGTGGCCACCTCCAAAATGAGGCCCGGCGGGCAAGGGAGGGGGTGCCAGCCGCTCCCTGGACAAAGTCCTGCAAAGGCTACAAGCCCCCACCACAGCCCAGACTCGCGGAACCCCCGGCCGGCCAGGAAGGCACAGCGGGTTGTCCTGCCGAGACTGTGTGGTCCTAAAAGCCCTGTGGGAGCTGGGATCCCAAGGGATATTAGAGTTTTTGAAATCAAAGAGGGAGTCAAGGGCTAACGGGGGCAATTTGGATAGGAATGGACCCTTTTTCCTACTGACATGTAGCTGTGACCTATTGATGTTGCCCAAAAGTCTGGCAGGAGTCAGGCAGGGCAGACCCCCACGATGCTCTCTTCCCCCCTCATTTGTAGTTTCCCCCCCAAACAGGGAGGAGTTCCCCTTAATCAGGGCACATACCTAGGTTTTGGGTTCCACCCCTGGTCGGGGTGCGTATAGGAGGCAACCGATCAATGTTTCTCTCCTCTCTCTCTCTCTCCTCTCTCTCTCTGATTTATTCATGCAGTAACATGAATCAATCTCAAAATACTTATGCTGATGTAAAAAACCAACCTCATACATATAGTATGATTCTATTTATGTAAAATTCTAAAAAAGTACAAAGCCATCTAGAGTGACAGAAAGAAGAGGTGGCCTGGAGATGGGGAAATTGTGGTCAGAAGAGGCGAGAAGATTGGCAAGAAACTGAAGGACATTTCTGTGGATCCTGGGTCACTCGGGGTCTTGATGGGGGTTGCTGTGCAGTTTAAACCTGTGTCATTAACTCTCTGTCAATTACACCCTCAATGATGCCGGCTACAAAGTAGCTCATGGGTTTGGGTGGAAGATTAAACAATAGTCATAACATGCAAAGAAACTAGCTAACTGCTGATAGCTCTTTCAGTTGGTGTTCCCCCTTCCTCTGCCCGGGTACTGGAGACTGGGGGGTGAATAAGGAGAGAAGTGTGTTTTCCTTCCGAGTCGGTCAGCAGCACGTGGCCGGGGGACTCAGCTTTTCGCAGAAGTGTTTTCATTCAGGGACGGTCTAGCCTTCTTCTTCCCCGTTAATTCCTTTCTGCTGACTTAACTTCCTGAAGTCCTCATCTTCACTTTTCTTTTCATGTCTACATCTATTCTCTTGGGAGTTGTCTCGAAATTCTTTTAAATTTCCTATCCTCGATCTATTTTCCATGTGCTTGTCACAGAAGACTTTCAACAAATACCCTCAAATTTTAAAACACAGTGCTAATATTTATTCACTAATAACAATTTTTAAAATTTTTAATATGTTTTTATTGATTTTTTTTTTGAGAGAGAGAGAGAGAGAGAGAGAGAGAGAGAGAGAAACACTGATGTGAGAGAAAAACATTGATCGGCTGCCTCCTGTACGCCCCCTACTGGGGATTGAGTCAGAAACCCAGGCATGTGCCCTGACCGGGAATCGAACTGGGATAGTCCATGGGATGACAGTCCACTGAGCCACACCAGCCGGGCTAAGTTTTTTAAATTTATTGATTTTAGAGAGAGAGAGAGATTTGAAAGAGAACATTGATTTGTTCCCCGTATTGATGCATTTATTGGTTGATTCTTCTATGTGCCCTGACTGGGGATCGAACCCACAACCTTGGGGTATCGGAACGATGCTCTGGCCAGCTGAGCTACCCCTCCAGGGCCTAACTTAACGCTGTTGGCCGTACGTGCACATCATTATTCTCTTCCCCAGCTTTGCCCTCTCCTGTTTCCTAGCAGAGCACGTCCTGGGTGGGCCAGTGCATTCTGACAGTGTGGAGCGGAGCCACGGGTGGCAGGGGAGACTCCCTGGCCACGAGCAGTGAGTTCTGACAAGTCAGGTGCATGGCACACAGGGGGAGTTCAATCAGCATCACTGGAAAGTGATTCAGTCTGATTAACTGATGGATCAGGTGCAGTCTATACGCCCTTTGCACACACACACACACAGAAATAAAGACGTAAAGAGATAAAGAGAGAAAATGAAATGAAAAGAGGAAAAGAACCATAAGAAAGAAAAGGAAGAGCAGACAGACAGGGAAAGAGAGGGGACTGAACAGGGAGATTGATGGAGAGAGGAGAGAAAAAGGGAAAATAAGAAAGATGTGGGCTTGACAGGCGAGGAGGTGAAACCTGATGGGGGCGGGGGAGGAGAAATAGGAAGTCAGAGAGGAACTTCGGGGCAAACTGGTGGACGACTGGGGTGAACGGAACATGCGTCGGCTCCTGAACAGACCAGGTCCCTCGTCAGCTCCATTTCAAAGCCTAGCAATATAGTGGATAAATGTGTCCTCTTTGCCTGACCCAAATGAAACAGAGAGGAGGAACGAGACTCTTTCCTCCGGAGTTACATTTGACTAGCCTTGGCTCGCAGCCCAGACCTTGGAAACATGCCGTCTCTGATAGAGCAAGTCAGCCTGCAGATGAAGAACAGAGCTGGGAATCTGGCTAAGCTGGCAAGGCACAGCAGATGTAATGGGAGTGTTCAGTAGGCAGGTAGATAGATAGATAGATAGATAGATAGATAGATAGATAGATAGATAGATAGATAGATGATAGATAGATAGATAGATAGATAGATAGATAGATAGATAGATAGATAGATGATAGATAGATAGATAGGCAGATAGGTAGGTAGGTAGATAGATGATAGATAGATATAGATGATAGATAGGATAGATGATAGATATAGATAGATAGATAGATAGATAGATAGATAGATAGATAGATAGATGATAGATAGATAGATAGAGATAGATAGATAGATAGATATGATAGATAGATGATAGATAGGCAGATAGGTAGGTAGGTAGGTAGGTAGGTAGATAGATAGATGATAGATAGATAGATAGATAGATAGATAGATAGATAGATAGATGATAGATAGATAGATGATAGACAGGCAGGTAAGTAGATAGATGATAGGTAGGTAGGTAGGTAGGTAGGTAGATAGATAGATAGATAGATAGATAGATATAGATGATAGATAGATAGGATAGATGATAGATATAGATAGATAGATAGATAGATAGATAGATAGATAGATAGATATAGATGATAGATAGATAGGATAGATGATAGATATAGATAGATAGATAGATAGATAGAGATAGATAGATAGATAGATAGATAGATAGATAGATAGATAGATATAGATGATAGATAGATAGATGATAGATAGGCAGATAGATAGGTAGGTAGGTAGATAGATGATAGATAGATATAGATGATAGATAGGATAGATGATAGATTAGATCGATAGATAGATAGATAGATAGATAGATAGATAGATAGATGATAGATAGATAGATAGATAGATAGATAGATAGATAGATAGATGAAACCATTTCCTTCAAGTAATTCAGAGCACTGCCCCCTTAGGTTAAGTTCAGAGAGAAGCTCTCTTGTTCTTGGGCACTGGGGGATGGGACATTCTGCCTAAAGTTTGTATAATTAGTGATGAAAGTAGAAAAGGAAGTCAAGGGTCCTCAATTCTAAGCTATGTGGGGTTTTTTCCTCCCTCCCTCCCTCCCTCCCTCCCTCCCTCCCTCCCTCCCTCCCTCCCTCCTTCCTTCCTTCCTTCCTTCCTTCCTTCCAAGTTAATCAACTCTCTCTCTTCC